TTGGGTTTCCCTGTTTTTTTTTTTTTCACCGGAGGAACAAACCCCCCCCCCCCCCCCCCCCAGCGTGACCCCTTTCTCTAATCCTCTGTAGGATAATCTTTTTGTTTTTGTGGGAACACTGTACACTGTTACAATCCAACAATCAGACGTGAGCATAATTATAGACATTTTATCACGTGCCAAGTTTCATGCTGCCAAGAAAAAAAACTCTGCACACTCAAACGGATACTGTTAGAAACGTCACACGCGAGTGCGACATGAACTGTGAAACCATTGCAGCGTTTGAATCCCATGAGGTGTAGATTAGAGACGTGGGTTCCTTTATACGGTTTCCAGCCCAGATGTATCTTTGCCCCTCACCCTGAAAATCTGCAACCTTGTGCTCTGCTTCATTATCAAGGCGAGCAGTGCTGCATGTTTTGTCTGACGAACTGTCCTTGGACTCTTCTAAGCGGCAAATCAAGTTATTGGGAAGATTAATTAACTGTTGAACTGTCCACTTCGGCTTCATAAACTACACATTATGTACAATATGCCAACTCACCTAGGTAGCAATGACTGCATGGCACAAACTTAAATCTTTCAGCCCTTCTTGAACTATTTGCCAGATAAATTCTGCACTATACTGTATGCTGCTGTATGCTGCTGGAATCCTGTAAATTTCCCCGCTGCGGGACTAATAAAGGATTATCTTAATTCATTTATTTCTTGAAGCTTAAAGACATTTTCTTAAAATGCAGATGTAATATATCCTTTGGTCTACCCTGTTTATTCGAATGCTCTCCTCCCTATGTTTGCTGCTGGTTTGCACTTCACTCCAGGCTATTTGCCTCCCTTCTTAATCAACAAACTGGTGCATGCAGGTGTAGGTGTAACATATCAGCCTGTGCATGCTTACGACTTCACTTAAGCTCTCGCTGACACTGCTGTGCAGTGCGAGGGAAGGAATGAGTAGCAAATACAGTAATTATGCCTAGCTTATAATGTGCTTTGACTGATTGCTGAGGCTAATCAGTGGGCGGTTAATACTTTAAGTTGTTATCAAGCCTCATACGTTACGTGTGTGTGTGTGTGTGCGTGTGCGCGTGCTCAGGCCTGCGCCGGCTTCCGTTGACGCCATGGGAGAGCAATGTGGTGAACCGCCTGCTGCAGCCAACGCACTCCTACTTGGCTCGTAGTCGCAGTGCCATGAGTCTCTCTGGAGAGCAAACAGGTAATATACACACATCCCACAGGAGTGAGCCCTCCTGGCTCTCATGGTCAGCAGTAAGGGAAATAGAGGATGTTTAAAACTATGAATCACAGCTGGTGGTAGCGCGAGAAGTATTTACGCTCTTTATGTTTTGGCATCTTGAACCAGAACGGTTCCGGATGTTAATCAGATTTGGCGAGACTTAAAGCATTATAACCGTCTGAAACTTCCTACACCAGCCTGTGTCAGGCACTCAAAGCTCACACACACAAACACACACGTACATTTCTCTGCATGCATACTTGCTTTCACTTTCTCTGGGACTTTGTAGAGTAGGGCTTGGTTTGCCAAACCACTCCTATAGTGTGATAGCACAAAGTGAATGGAACATTTTCTCGATTGCGTTGTGGTTTTAAAAGTTGTCACAGTTTTTTTCTTTTTCTCACTCTCTAACCCGGTCTTACTAAATGCTTCTTTTAAAGGCATAACAACATATTTGCAGTTGTGCTTCAAATCCGCAGCACTAACACCTTTGTTCTCTTCTTCTCTGTTTCTACCAAACATCTTCTTTTTCATTCCTCTCGATCCTCCGCTGGTCCGCCCAAACTCACGCCTTCTCTCTATTAATTTGTGTGATATCCTTCACGTTCCTTCCTCTCCTTCTCGATGTCTTGCTCCTTGCTCCTCTTTATCAAACTTTCTGCTGATCAAACACTCCCACTGCCCTGCTCCATACCTTCCCCGTAAACACTCCGAACTCCCGCCTCCTACATCACCGTAGCCATGCCCGTTTGTCCTCGCTCAGTGTCCTGCCACCCCATGGGCTCCATGTCCTTCAAAGCGCTGCAGGCCCAGCCGCTTCCTCACTGCCGCAGCCAGGAGAGGAGCCTCAGCAAGGGGACGGTCTCGTCGTCCACCGCGACCGCTCGCAGGAGGACCGCCGGCACCGCACAGGTGCGTCATGTCATGAACCTGCACGTGTTTGACCGAATATCTAGACAAAATATGAGTTGTGACAAAAAGCTAGGTGCTTGTTTTTCTATGTGATGTAATATGTATAATCTTGTTGTTGACGTTTTCACACTGATGATGCCCAGATCAGTCGGACACACTGTGTTTGTGCCCTTCACACACAGACACACACATTACTGTACGCACTGTCCATCTGTCTGCTGCTGTGTCACAGCTTATTCCATTATAGTCTTAGGAGGACATCTCCTGTACTTTCTATTCCACATAGGGACCCATAAACACATGCATGAACCACACATGTACACAAACACATAATCCAGACACAACCCAGCATACTAGTGATACCACTTTTGTGCCATAATGTCTACATACTCTAACTGTAGGTCATTGTTAATGCAAGTGAGTTTTTTTTTTTTGCCTCCTCTACAAATAGGCGATAAATGCCTTGTGAGTTGGTCTTATTGAGAAAAGGTCCATTTTTAATTTTGGCAACAGGTTGTTTCTTTTTTTAGTTAAGTTGGTGCCAAGGGTTATGCACGGCCAAAGGAAGGCTGTCTGAGTCTAATCCTGTTGACGATCATCTTCTGCTGCGGTCAATAGGACAACATGGGTCGGGACACCCGCTGTCTTTGTACCACTTGATTACTTTGTGTGTTGCTGAGGACATTTTCGTGAAGCGCTATTTCAGTGACATTATGCTGCTGGCTTAATAAAAAAAAGATCCTGCCCATTTTCAATAATGATTTATTTGATCTCATTGTTTCCCTTCATCTCCTGCACCAATAGCAGAAGGACCGTGACCATGTCAGGAAGTCATGGAGCAACCTGTCCCTCCCACTGGCTCCCATTCTCACTTTGCCCCCCAAAATGCGCTCCTCTTCTCCGGGGAAGAAGAACAGAAAAGGGACAGTGCCCTCTCCTGGCAGGTAGGAGAACACAACCATGATGCCTGGCAGAGTGAGGTACATAAGCAGATTTGTCACAAATTGGAGTAATAGATTACTGAGAGCAGGGTGGGTGAGGGTGTAACAAGGTTTTGGGCAATAATACAAGTAAACTACGTTCCATGAAAACCATTCTAATTGCTTTTGTTCCTGCACACAGGCCTCCACAAAAGTCAGTAGGGCGCCCCCCGACCCCCAAGCTGCTTAAGTCTCCGGGGGCAGACGACCCAGGGAATCTTCGTCCCTTCAGGGTCACACTGGAGAGCCCCCAACCCACCAGAGCCCCTGAAGAGGAGGAAGAAGAGCAGGTTCTCGGTCCTCTTCAGCCTCGACCTCAGCCAGTGGGTCAGAACAAGACCAGCAGTGAACAGACAACACCAGCAGTCAGTGGTCAGTTGCCACCCTTTTCACATCCACATTATCATGCAGTTTATAAGATACACTGGTTCAAATTCTCGTGTATGATGCCTTCTAGAGAGCGTAAGCAGTCCTCCAGGCCACAGGCACTCAGCAGGCACCACAGATCCAGAGGAGGCGAGTCGTATCCTGGCCGAGAATCGGCGCCTGGCCCGCGAGCAGAGAGAGCGAGAGGAAGAGGAGCGAAAGCAGCAGGAGGAGCAGCGGAGGTGAATTGGCTGCGCTGCTTGTGAACTTGGATAATACTGAAGGTGCATCTGCATCCTCGAATGTGATTCATCTGTGTTTGTACAGGTTAGCGCAAGAAGAGATGGCTCGCCGTAAGGCCGAGGAGCGCGTGAAGAGAGAAGAGGAGGCTCAGCGTCAGGCGGAGGAGACGAAAAGGAAGGAGGAGGTGGAGAGAAAGGAGGAGAGAAAGGTGGAGGAAGAGAGACTTCAGAAAGAGAGTGAGGAGGCAGAGAAACTCCAGAAACAGGTGGGAGAAAGTGTGCAAGCGAACTAAAGACTACACTTTGCAATCCCACCCGAGACGTCTGTTGATCTCACAATAAAATCAAAACTCTGTGGGTGTTTGTGTTTGTTAGAAAGAGGAGGAAGAGTCTCGACAGAGAGAAGAGGCGGAGCGACTGAGGCAGGAGAGAGAGAAACACTTCCAGAAAGAAGAGGCTGAACGCCTGGAGCGAAAAAAGGTGACACATGTTCACACACACACACACACACACACACACACAGTTGTAACATAATATGCCAGAAGTGCAGTGCATGTAAAAGCTTTTTTTTTCACCAGCGTCTGGAGGAGATCATGAAGAGAACAAGACGTTCAGACCCAGCAGAGAAGGTAAAGGCTGACACAAATGTGGAATGTGACTAAACATGAAGAACCTCTGTATTCATTCTCTTGTTATTCTTTCCCATCTGTAGAAAGTTGTTCCCAACAGGAATGGAGACAACGCAGGTAACTGCATTTTTTTTCTATAATCATACCTTCTTTTATTATTCTGAAAAAATTAATAATCACTTTTGCCATGTATCCACTTCAGTTGTTCTCATGATGCTGTGTCTGACTGCTGTGTTGGTTTTCTCTCGTCACCAGTGACACCTGCTGATCCTAGTCCATCTGCAGTGACGGCGTCACCGACACACAACAGCAACAGCAACGGTCGCCAACCTGAGCCCGACACCACAGCACTGAGCCATCCTGACCAGAGGTAGATTTACAGCAAACGTAATATAAAGTGTAAAGGTTTTTTGGGCTATAGATTATCACATTGGTGGCTGCAATGAGGGTAACGCTTTCCTTTCCATCCTCTGTTTTTCCAGGGAGAACGGGGAGTTCGAAGAGGTGATTGTGCTGCCTTCACATTCCAGGTTGTCTCCTCCTGAGGGAGAGGAGCAGCAGGAGGAGGAGGAGGAGAAGAGAGTTCCTGTCTTAGCCTTCAGGGAGAACGGTCTACTAAAGCCTCTGAGTGGAATAGAGGATATCTCAGCCCAGCAGGGACCAGGTCAATAAGCGTCCTCTTCCTGCATTGCCCCTGGTTCTTTCATTTGTCATTATCTACTAAACCACTTCTTCTCTAGTATATTCTCTTTGTATAGCTACAGAAGACGTTGCTCACTGCAGTTAGCTTTAGATGTGATTATCCTTTAAATCTGATCTGATAACGTTGATCCTGCTACACAGCGTTACTGAGCTACTACGGAGTCTGTGAATCCTGTTGTATTGTCAGAAGATACTTTTTTTTTATTTTTTATTTAGCGTCATAGCAGCTGACAGTTTTCGTTGTTGCCCTTGTTTGTTTAGATGTTGCCTGATGCCCCGTTAGACCGAGATGATTCCACGCCCAGAGAGACGGGAAGTGAGATGGCCAGAGAAGGGGTATCACAGAGCTGTTGGACTGAATCAAAGGAAGGACTCGCAGCAGCACAGTCGGAACCTTCCAGAGGTTTACTTCCTCAACCTCCCACGACAGAAGAGCGCCGCAGCCATTTCCCAAAGATCTCCCTAAAGCATCTTCAGAAGAGTTTCTTCTCCCTCAACAAACAATATGGAGAATAGATCGTCTCTCTATAACATCATTACACTCGGTCACAAAGTTCTGTGTGCAGCCCCAACTACCCCTGATTCTGAAGTGAATGTCTGGAAATCACAGGAGGAGTGAATGCCTATTCCATCTTGTGACTCTTGTGATGTTTGTGTGTGTGTTTGTTTGTGCAGATGAGAGACTAATAATGATGTAAACTGAGATCAGCTGTAAAGTCTTCAGCCATGATACTTGAAGAGATTTGTTTTTGTTGCTGTAGAAGACACTGTAATCCGATTGAGATCAGCAATGTGACGTTTTAACTGGAACTTGCACAACAGGCTCCGAATTACAAGGTTTCATTAACGCGTTTGCTCTCGTTAACTGGAACCTCATAATTATTCATTTTCAATGTTTCCATTGAAGTGTTCCAGAAGAAATGGGATAAACGAATGTCTGTGCATGAAGTTGTATTAAGACTACAGGAAAGTGTCATGTAATGTAATATATTTTTGCCGTGTCTACAGTGTGTAGGACTAGAGGTTATTATTGGGGTGAGGCGGGGGGGCGTTGGAGTATTATGGAGTTTAAGTTAAATGACAAAATGAAAATACTGTCAACTGACAATTAGGGTGTAAACTACTGATTATTTTTGTTTAGTTTTATTTAATTGCTGTACAGATGAAATGTGATTCTTTGTCTCGTCCTCGATACTGTCCGTTTAAATTGAGAAAAAAAAGAACCTGCTTTGACGTTAAGTCCCGCCCTTTCCTTTCATTCGTTTACCCCGTCAGTGCTGCATCCCAAATCCAGTTACACTACACATCTACGCGTTGGATGTTGACTTTTGTTTTCGCCAAGCAAATACAAAAAGGTTTAAAATCATTTGCTGGTGACGTATAATCTGATTAGTTTGATCTTTTTGATAAAGGATTCAAGAAGAAATGCTGCTAATTTTGACGTTCCTTTGCCTTACCGCATTATAGAGAGAATGAGGCGACTTGTCTTTCTCACTGAAATGAAATTATGCATTCCCAGCGTGAGCTTCGACGTTCTGGCCACATGCCAGCGGCTTCATGTTAAGTTTATGAAAACTCATGAAGTGTTATGTCATCATATAAAGGCTGTACTGTCAAACAACTGGTCCTTTATACGACTTTTCATTAATGAAAGACAAGAGAGGGGGATTAAAGTAAAACACTGGAACCAAACCATAACACTTCTGTGATATTCACTTCCAGTAACGCTGCTCTCTGAGCATTTATTTCTCAAACCTTTGCACTTAAATTTCCTCTTTGTTCAAATCTTGCTGTACCACCAAAAATGGAGGGAAACTTCTGGGTTATGTAGTGCTGGTTTCTGCTAGTACACAGCATTGTTCGACTTGGCAGCTTGACTTATGAAAATAAATTGCTTGTAAATATACATATCCTATAAATTAAGTTTGAAAGCCAATATATTTTACTAAGCCTGACTGAGACTCAGAAAACAAACAAGTCCTTTACTTCACGAGAGGCTGTGGGATGAGATCTTTGAACCTCTGTAAAGCTCAAATCACTGTACAACTGTTGCAGCTGTACTGTTTGGCAAGTAAATAAAACTTTTTGAAATTGATAACCTATTCACCGATGTGGTATTGCAATGACTGTCTTCTTTGATCCAAAATACAGAATGATGGGAAGATAAAAGAATTTACAGTGCGCATTGAAAACATGGAATACTTTGTAGATTTATTTTAGCAGAAACCAAAACGACTACCAACGAACAGCAGGATATACAGAACACAATCTTCTAACTGTACAGACAGTGACAGTCATGAATTATTTTATACACACGAGAGAAAGTGGACAGTTTGACCGAGATTAAGAAAATATGTACATCAAGTGGATAGAAAACAAAAATGTATGTTCAGGGACAAAAGATATTTTTCAAGTGTGTCTCCATTCAACTAAGAAACCCACTTTTGTACATGTTGATAATTTGTAGTTTTTCACAAGAATTGACGTCAACTTGGTGAAGTTGACCATGCACACAAAGCCCGGATGTTGGCGTGTAGTGTGCCAACATCCAGTAATGTCCACTTCTGTAACATACAGAGCAGTTGTAGTCTTTTAGCACAACTTTGCGTCACTGGATCGCAGGGAATCAAACCTCACCAGTAGAACGTTTTGGTGAGGAAACTGGCGGCAGAGCTGAGCCAGCTTCCACTGGAATCTTCCTTCGCTGTGGTGCGGGAAATGGCTCGGTCGACCTCCCTCTCTGGGCTCTCCTCTTCTGGGAGGTAGTCTGGTAGAGCAGAGTTTTGCTGCACCTCCACTCCAGACTGGTCCAGAAGGATAAAAACCTGAAGAAAACGATCCTTGGTTTATTCTCCCGCGGATACTCAAATAGTGTGGCGTCAAAATGTGTGCTCTATGACCCCCGCTCACCTCTTCTCCTGCCTCATTCTTAACCACCTGCTGAGCTGACAGCACCTTAGTGGCAGCAATGGCGGACGCCAGACTCTGGAAAATATAAAGGCGGTGACACCAAAGATCAGAAGCGGATTTGATAATGCAATAATACTAACGTTGCATATAACTACAGGGATATAAACTAACATTTTTAACAGCCCAGTGTCTTCCTAAGCAGACGCTGATAGAAAGTGTTGTACCTCAGTGGGCAGGTCAGAACGGATGCGGACCGTGCATCTCTTGGAAGCCATCTGGAAGGTGAAGCTGATCACTCCTTTGACCTTTAGAAGAGCCTCCTCACACAAGCCTCTCTGGTCCTTGATACGAGAGGGAGACTATTAGTTAACATTAGTAACTTTCTGGCAATAATAATAATTAGTATAGTTGCTGTCATGCATAGGAGTGTGTGTGTGTTTGTGTGTGTTTGTCAGTCAGCCCACTCACAGTGCTGTCCAGCCCCTGGATGTGAAGAGTGACAGACTTGGCCTTCTTGTGGGTGGAGTTGATAAAGAACTGGGATTTCTTTCTACTCTCAGGTATGCGTGGCACAGGTGCACTCAGAATGCCAAACAACTCCTGGGCCAAGGCAGTGATGTCAACAGACAGGCCCTCCCTATATGGAGAGACATTATATTTAATGTAAACTGGTTACAAAACCCTGAATTGCCATCCACATATTTGGGTCTAAGTGCTATTACATGAAATACTAAATGCATATGAGAAAAAAAGTAATGTAGTTAAAGCTGTAGACAGGTCAAGCAAGTCTTATTGGAAATTGCAAGTAAAAAAACATTTGAGTCGCCAAGAAAACATCTCCTCACCTCCCAATGAGATCCTCCAGGCTCACCATCATACCCAGTTCATTCTTCATGGTGGAGATGTTGGGGGTCAACTCAGCCAAGTAGCGCAGGGTCTGAGGACAAAAGATGGATTCAAATATGCAGTTCATTTATGATAACAGGTCCACCCAGCGACCCTACGTGTTAAAACGTGCCTATGGTAAACGTAGGCATAAAATACTGGTCTGGTCCCTGTAATGTGTAATCAGCAGGAAGATGCAGGACGAGTTCAGCCTCCATCACCCACCTGGACGGTTGCAAACAGCACGTCTGGGTTCTGGTGGTCCAGGAAGAGAACCAGCCCGGGCAGACAGCCCTGATCCTGGACGATCATCTCTCGGTTTTGCGGCTCGGAGGCCAGGTCCCGCAGCTGGCTGACTACCGACAGTGCGTCCATCATCTGCGTTAACTCTTCACCGGATCTGAAACGGAGAATGGTAAACGTAATTTAAAGGTTAACGTCAACTACAATCGGTACCGTGATGAACGTTGAACTAAGTTAGGAAAAAGCAAGTCAACGTTATGACTGGATGATTTTAGATAACGTGACGGTCACTGGTGTGTGTTTAAGCTAGGAAGCTCAAGGTAAGAAGCTAACGTTAGTTTATTGAAGTTAGTTTATTAATCGCGAGCGTTAACGTTGTGGCTAGCTAAAGATGCTACCGTTAGCTAATTTTGAACCCAGGAAGAAGCGGACCAACGTACGAAAAACACATTATTTTGTTCCGTTGCACCGTTTGAACACAACACTATAAGATTGCCACAACAAATAATAATATAAACGCCCTTAAAATACGGTGAATGTGGTAAAAATGAAGTTTTTTGTGATGTTTTCTTACCCGGGAGAAGAAGCAGCTCGTGTACAAAAATACAAATTTGGTGCTGGGTTTTCGTGACACGCGATTGGTCGACTAGACGTTGCCCCCTCTGTACGATCGCCTTCTCCTATTGGCTGTTCATGTTACTTCTGTATCTACAGCCAATCAGAGGAGTCGATGCTGCTGCAGCTTTATTTGACTTCACTCAGACTTGCTTCCTGGACTCGTGAGTTATTGGTGTTTATCTGCAGTCACAGTTTATATTATTGGTTACTATGAAGATATCCGACAAATGTAGCTTCCAATGCACGTTTTGACAAGAACAGTCCACAGTAAGTACGCACATATTTCAGTTTATCCCGTACGTTTTCCTGGTGTGGCGGTTTAGTTATGATGAGCCACGCAGCGCTACAGAAGGAAACACTGCGGTGCTGTGCGGGCTGACTGCATTGCCCGCAGCAGGTTACTCTTCTAAGGGTAAAGCCACAATCCACTCTGGACCGTCGGTTGTGCTGATTCAATACGATTTTTTTCCGCCAAGTCAGCATGCAACGGTAGACTCGTTGATTTAAAGTTTGTAATATGACATCCTAAAAAAAGGGTTAATTTGAATTCTCTCAGCCATTCTGTTTCATAAACGTGCACATTTGTTTTTGGTAGGTTTTCCTTTACTGGCTTTTCAAGATTAACCTATTTCAGTCTGCAGGCAACTTTAATGTGTAGGTAACATTTAAGTTAATTTGTATAGCACCTAAGGGTTTAAATAGGAGCCAAATATACATTTAGATATTAAAGAAACAAAAGGTAAAATTATAATTAACACTTCAATAGTATATTCAAAAATACATAATAATGTCCCAAAACACTTGGCAATTCACAATAGTGTTTCCCCCCCATAACACATTCCGTTATTTACAATAGTACTGTTTTCGAGAGGCCTCTAAAGACGACATTACAGTAGTGAAGCTACTAACTTCACTTTTAACTTCTTGCATTAGGTTCATGTTGTAATTGTCTTCTTCATGTTAGAATCTACGTCCATAACTTGATTTGTTGTTTTCAGGGATTCACGTACTGACTTTGCTGCGTTGTCTGTTTTGTCTCGTTTCAGGTGTAAAGTATGTGACTTGGTGCCGTCCACTCTGCGTTGGCCTCTTACCAAGTTAGTCAGCAGAAAGAGGATATTTGCAGTCATCAGCTGGTGCTTTTAAAGAAAAACAAAAAAAAAAGTCCTTCCAATGTCTTTAGTAGAGGATATTCTGGATGTGCTGCGCGTCGTCCTGGAGTACTTTGGAATGGCTCCAGACATGGTGAGTCCAAAGACGCACTGTTAAAATGATGTCATCCCGGGCTGTCATGGGGCTTATTATTTGTTTTTATCGGTGCCAAGTATCAGCAGCAGTGTCACCTTGCTCCCTAAAAGTTAACTGACCAAGCGCAGGTGGAAGAGTAGCAATTTTCAACCAAGATCGTGTGTGTGTGTGTGTGTGTGTGTGTGTGTGTGTGTGTGTGTGTGTGTGTGTGTGTGTGTGTGTGTCATCTTTTGCGTGTAGCTGGTTCCAGTGTGGGATAGTCAGCTGTGCGGCCAGTATCGCAGCGTTGTGCGGATGATTGGGACCAACCTCCATCTGACGCCTACACCACGAGTCCACTTTCAGGTACCGTCCTACTTTCTAACAGACTGAAGATGATCTGGAACCATACATTAGTCTTCACCTCTTCAAATTCAACACAGCCACACAGTGGAACTATGGGCTTTTTGTTAAGACTTGCTAATAAAGAAATGTTTGTGACCTGATTTTAAATGATACATTTGTCACATAGTACTTCCTAAGCAGACGCAATACTTTTTCCTAAGCTGAGCTAAAGTGCGTGTTTGTTTTAACATGACACGCACACACCAAAGACATTCACTCATTTTACAGTGGTGCACCTTCCTTCCAAGTTTAAACCAACTAAGTTCTGTGGTTTATTTTGTCATGTAGTCGGGGTCAAAGTGTGTAAACCTTCGTTGTCCACGTTTGGTCCTTAGGTCCCTCTGCTCGGCTATGGGCCCAACGGTTACGTCGACATCCCTGTGGAGACACCGTCCATCCCCTCGTTCGCTGACGTCATGTGGGTGTTTGAGGATGAGGGGGAGACCTTTGCCAAGACCCGGTAAGGACACAATACAAACACACGGTCAGGTTCATTTTGGCCACTGCAAGTTTACAGAAAACAAAACCATGTTCACTTACATGCAATTCACTGTAGAAATGCATTACCTGCATGGATTTATGAAAACACACTCATTTAGTTTGTTTCGGGTGTGAAAATATTTAATATTGAAACTGATATATGGTCTCAATAGGAACCGTTTACCTCCGAAGAAGGGAAATACTGTAAATCGGGACGTGGTGAGATTCCCAGGACCGACCAAGAATAGAACCCAGATGGGAGGCAGATCAGCTGGTTCAGACGCTCTGCAGAAGATCACAGCGCTGGAGAGCGAGCTGCTCGAACTACGAGCTCAGATAGCCATGATCGTTACGGCCGCTCCAGCCTCAGGTGCACACGCTTTGTATCTTGTCTCGACATCTTTTTCGCGAAATGCACAAATATGTCAAGTCCAGCAAATTTAACAACCATTCTGTGCTCTTTCAACGTTTCGTTAGGTCGGACGGAGTCCCCGAATACCCCGGGCTCGCCTTTGATGTCTTCTATCCTTCCCCGAGCTCTCACCTCCACGCCTCGCTGTGCTGCTCCCCCTCCACCACCACCACCTCCTCCTCCTTCCTGCCTTGGTTCCCTCGCTGAGACTCCGTCTGTATTAGAGCTGATCCGCCAGCGCAGGACGAACGACAACAACCTTGACAAGGCTCAGCGCAAGCCCCAGGACTCGCAAGCAAAAGGGTTCCCATCCATGCTGGATGTTCTCAAGGACTTAAATCAAGTGAAATTGCGCTCAGTGGAGAGGTAGGCATTAGGAATGAAAGGAGATTGGTGTGTCAGAATTTCTTTTTTGTTTTGTTTTTTTGAGTTTTGCGCTCCGCATGCTCACGTTACCACAGTCTTGGAAAGGGAGGAGTGAGCAGAGGGGTGTTGGTTGGCAGTTAAATGCCACCAAGTCAAACAGGCATCGACATTTTTCATTCTTTCTTCTGTAGGTCACCGGGGGGAAGACCGGTCGGAAGGAGGCGCAGTAAGGGAGGCACACCATCGCTTAACGACCCAGCGGCTCTCATCGCTGAAGCGCTAAAGAGAAAGTTTGCCCAGCATCGCCACAGCAGCTCCTCTGACAAAGAGAACTCACTAGAACTCTCACCGTTCGGCAGTCCAGAAACACCCATGGTTTGTTTTCCCCAGAGCCACACACACACACACACACACACACACACCTCAGACTCACACACCTCTGTCAGCTGGTCTGCTAATCTGATGCCTCTTTCAGGTTCCTCTCCATATCAGACGCAGTCAGGGGCGCCTCCACCTCTGAGTCCGCTGATCTGACCCCAAACTGTCAAAAGTCAGACACCCCATCAGCCAATGACCGCTCCCACAGATGTGCCTCTCAAGACGAATTACTCCTGCAGCTGCTGACTTATGTTTCATTTTTACTTTTGTTTGTCTTTTCTTTTGTTCTTGTAAGAGTGTTTGTCTCACAATGAACAAAGTGCTTGTGTCTCATGTTACGTGTCTCATTGTTGGGAGGCTTGAATGTATGTTTGTGTTTTCAGCGATTGCTGTGAACAAGGAATTTGGTCCAGTTTTGTTTTTGTACAGCGGAGTCTTATGTTTCCAGTGTTATTCATACATTGATGAGATCTTTTTAAATGTAATAATGTATTAAAAGCAGGTGTGCACTGTAGCTTGTAGCCATCCTGCTTAAAGTCACTTTGTGAGGCCTTATAGTTCTTCCCTCAACCATGTGAAATGAGCAGTGGGTATTGAGATTCATGCAGCTCTCTTCTATGCAACTGCTGTTTCAGGTTTTATTATATATTAAAGTGTTAAAGTGCACTGATCCATTTTGTTGTCCTTCTTTTCATGTTCCCGACCAATTCAGTATATTTCCAAAGCCAGTTGTAGCTATTTTGAACATTGCTATGATTAGATCACTGTGACCTCACAAAACATGTTTTGGGCCATAACCTCAAGACAATGTCACACAGATGTCAAATATGATAAAATGATGAAGTGACGACATTTTGGACAGACGTGGATGTGAACTTGACCGTTTGGTGAAGGCTCACAACGAACGGTAAATGTAGTTTAACCATGACAGCTGCCTTTGCGTCTTGCTTCAAATGAGCTGCTGCCGTTCACTGCGTGCTACAAGGCAAGTAAATGTCTTCTGACTTGGAGAGAAGATGACCTTAAATAACTTATATTATATAGAAACATAGTTTATATTTATTTAATAATTCAAGTTTATCTTACTAACAGTTCTTTATCATTCTCTACTCTTATCATAATCTTACCTGAGCTGCTGCTGTTCACTGTGGATGACATAGTGAGCAAGAATAGGTGTTAACATAATCCAGAGAAAGTAATGTACTGTATATCATTGTGTAAACATGTATATCTATAAAAAATAAGTATCCTATCTTACGAACCATTGTTTCTCTTTGTGTATTCTCAAGTTACTCTAACACCGGAGCTGCCGCTGAACACTTTGAATGAAAGGGTGAGTACTGCATAATTTAACAATAATTTGCACTGGTACATCATGTTTATCCTTTTTTATTTCATGAAGAGCACAACCAATTATTTGAAAAACCTACGGTAGGTTTATCAAAGAGTTTGCTGTTGTGTCCTGAAATGAATGCTATGCTATGGCAAGGCAAGTTTATTTATATAGCACATTTCAACAACAAGGCAATTCAAAGCGCTTCACATAAAAGCATCAAAACATAAGGCAAAAGAAAAGGAGCTTTAATCAAGTCATTAAAACATTAATAAAAGTTGCAGTGCAGTTTAAGAAATAGAATACACGAGTGAAATGCAGGAAATTGATTAATATCCTTGAATCTGGTTCAATTAAAGACAGCAGCAAACAGAAAAGTTTTCAATCTTTATTTAAAGGAGCTGAGGGTCTCAGCAGACCTGCAGCTTTCAATTAAGACCATTTTACACAAATGTCTGATACAACAACGCGATAACATGGTTTTAAACTGCAACTGGATTGGTTGGGAGAGCATATAACTTAACATCTCCGTCGATCCAAATAAATAATAACAATGTTAAGTCATAGACTATAATATATATTATATAAATAATAAAACATACGTATACTATATAGTATGTTCACAGTTTGGTTAGCCAAAGAAGAAAAGCTGCCTCAAATTGATAACTTAGACCAGGGGTCTCAAACTCATTTTCACTCTGGGCCACATCAGCGTCATGGTCGCCCTCAAAGGGCCGGGTGTAAATGTAAGACCGTGTAAATGTAACTACTCCTAACATATTTTTAAATAACTCTCTGCATTTGATTATTGTTTATTCAAGTGTAAAAATATTGTACAGTCAGTTATATAAATGTAAAAATATATTTAAGCACATTTCTGTTATTATAATTTAAATCCTTTTAATTTAGGGTTAATAAACCCACATTACTCTATCAAAGATCAAACTTTTAAAGAAAATAGCAAAGACAAATATCAAACAAGTTATTACAATAACTTTTTTCAAAGCTTAAAATCCTTTCAAGGGTGCGTTTGCACAATCCCACGTGAAGTATTTCATGTGTTTTAAAGCCACGTTTAAAGTAGTCTTCAATGTTCTCACAATACATTTCCATTTCAAGTGTAGGGTAACCAGCCAAAGACCTGCTTCTGTGACTGTGTGTTTAAGTATCTCATCATTTTGACTTTCTATCTCAGAATTATGACTTTCTATCATAGTTATGACTTTCTATCTCATAACCTCGACTTTCTATCTCATCATTTCGACTATGGGGATATTTTTATTATCAAGTCTAAGTCTAAGTCTTTTTTTTTTTTAACTGGCGGATTCGCGGGCCACATAAAATGACGTGGCGGGCCGGATTTGGCCCGCGGGCCGGGAGTTTGAGACCCCTGTCTTAGACTATTCACATTCCCACATCAGTCACACATCGTTGTGTGTAAAAAGAAGTTCATATTTTAAGTGGCCAAATGCAGCCTTTCCAGAGCTGCTTTCATGGCTATAAACCCTGAATGTTGGTATATTACAAAGAACCTGCTAGTCATAAAGGCATTGAATATACTTTTCAGCTTCATCTCTGAATTGTAGGTGTCTGTGTCCTCCTCCTCCTCCTCTTCCTCCTCCGGTGAGAATGTGACTGTGAGAAAAACAAAAGAAAAGTGGACTTTAGACCATTAAATGTTATAATGCTATTCAGTTATATTTAGCTTTATTAAGATGTAAAGACAAGGAACTATTAATGCAATACAAAATATGCAAATACATGTGTCTAGAATAATGGCATAAAAGGTTGACCTCTCCACCGCAGCTGCATTTAGTCTGACTTAATGAGTGCGTGTTTGTTTTTGTCAGAAAAAGCAAATCATGAAAAACAACTGAATTTGTGCTTAACAAAGAGTGCACCGGGGAAAACCCAATTAGTTAATACTACACCTGCAAGCTTGAGTCATAAAATATAATTAAACATACAAGCAATCAGATCTGTCCTTATTGCCAGTGAAATAATAAAAGATTATCTGATTAAATAAAGCTTAATGTAATTAAATAAATGAATATACTCATTGAAGGACAGCGTCTTACAAAACATTTTAACCACAATTCACAACACAAACACACTCTGAGCTTCTTGTAGCTTAACGTCCTTTGCTCTCCTTTCGAAGAGGACAATATTTGGGGAAAAGGTCTGTCAAGGAAATTTACTTTGATTGAGAGGAGATCCACGATGCTTTGAATCAGTTTGAGTCTGGAGGATCCCACTCCATGGGAGTTTCCTCATCCTCAGGATGGGGGGATTGGAAAGGTCTCACAGAACTGCAACACAACAGTTGCACAGAGAGACGTAGAAGTAAATSAGATAGATTAGTGGCATGTTAGTGGATTGTGCCCACACAAACATAAATTCAGGATGACATTAAAGTAAGACATCACTGTGTAAAGTAAAGTGAATATGTTTTTAAACTACAGTAACCTGTTAGCTCCATGTCCAGCACCAAAAGCAGCCCCCTAGCCATGCAAGGAGAAAAAAAGAATACATAAATCTAACTGCAGCAAAAATATATTTATCGGTTAACAAAAATGTCCCTTTAAATGTAAGTAAGTAAAATGTATTTATAAAGTGCTTTTCACAGACATTAGTCACAAAGTGCTTAACAGGAGTGGAATTATAAGCATAACACAAAGTGACCTCGTAATGTCCTTCGGATTGCCATACACCCTTTGTCCTCTGGGGGTCAAAAATGACCCTGCCTGGTTTGACTGTTATTTAAAGCATAAAGTATAAATTATTAATCAATTCTGTTTCACACATTTAGTTTTACTTCAGTCTAACCACAAATTTCCCTTCGTTTTGGAATTTAGGGCCAATAGACCTTGTTTTGACGACTGTACGCTAGCTGCTAATGTTGCTACCACACACAACTCTGATTCATTCAGTTCACTACTCATTCTGCTACCTTTTGCGCAGCACTAGTCCTCCCAAATCCAAAACATGTCACTTCAAACTAAATAGTATGAACCTTACTTGTTGATAAGGAATGGGAAATGTCATATCATCGTAGATGATTTCACCAGGAAATCCCTCTGCATTATCTACACATTCGATAGATATCTGCAATATCATCAAAACAAGTATCGTAAGATTCCCATAGAGACCAGTTCCACTTCAACAGCAAATTGCATGATTTAATGCTGAATTTCTCTAAATGCTAGCAACAACAATATTTTAAACAAACTTACGGGGAGTCCATTTACAGTCGCCATTTTAATGGTTCATCACTGAATATTTTTACGTTGCAGTTACATGCTGGCGCCAGACCACGTCAGTGTTCAACATTGTATGAATTAAACGTTACAACAATGTTGAGGATCTTTTTTTTATTACAGAAGGAAAATCTGTTATTCCAAACTAAAATATGATTTATTTAGAAAATACCACTCGCAGTGAAAAATATCAGTAACTCTCTCCCTCTATAAAGAAATATCAAAACTACTTTTTACACAGCCCTAGTCCTTCAAAATCCCAAATAAGACTATTTGGACTTCTCTTTCTAACAATTTGTTCACAAGAGTTCTAACAGGGAGTTAGACCTCTCTGTCGGACAACATACTATATATTTCTTTGTCTGTAAATTGATTTTGCCAAAACAGAACATACCTTTTTTTTTTTTTTTTTAGATCCTTACAAAATCTTGACCTTTCCTTCGTTCATGTTGGTCTGCTTTGGTCCTCTGTTTCAGATAATTACCGTCTCGTGGTTATGATTCAAACCATAGGAACTTCCCACCATAAATAGAGGATAAGGAATTGTAATGTCATTACAATTCCTTTCACTTCCGCAAATAGTTGCAGGTGCCTTGTGTTTCCTTTATATTGTCTTATTATAGATTTGCCTTATCTAACCTGTAAGGTCCTAGTCCATCACCAGAAGCAGTCCACTCTATAATGGTATCCTGGCCATGAAAAACAAATACAAAACATGCACTACATAATTTAATTTGTTTTTAATTTAAGACCATATATTTGGACTGTGCATTCCAAACTAAATGGTAAACCTTACTTGTTCAGAAGAAATAGCAAATGTTCTATCGCCATAGACGACCACACGAGGAACTCCGTCGGCATTGTCCACACACTCGATGGAAATATGCAATGCCATCAAAAATGTATTATAAAAATGAAATGCTTCATATAATTCCCATATTATGATACTGACACTTTAACTGCAAAGTTATGACCTCTATATTTGTTGACAGTTTACTGTAAAGCAATGGGCCTGTAATTATCTAGGCTACATACATACCAGCTCTGTCCTTAATGACTGGCACTAACGGAACAGACAGCATTGAGTCTGTCAAAAAGCCATGAGAGGAGCTAATCTCGGACTAGGATATTTAAGGTGTTCAGCTACAAACACACTTGATTATAATTCAATAAATTCACCTCCAAATACCTACTTTACCAAATACTTGTATTTCAGCCGAAAATGTTTAAACTTACACGTGTTGTTAATTGTTTGAGGGACTCCATTGTTCTTTCTTCCCCATGCATTATATTCGGTTTCGTTCGACCACGTCAGTCATGCTTATCGAATATGATATTATGCTAATTAATGTACAGCAATGTTGAGACTGTCAAAATGATTTTTCAATAATAACATTAAATCTTTTCCCTTGGTTATTTCTGACAACAGTTTTTCAATTGTGTCAGACTTTTTATTTTAACAGGAAGAATCTCTCATCAATTTATCTTATACACTAACTAACTTAGTTTTTTTATAAAAAATATGATCCACTGTAAAAATATAAAAGTACCTCTCGCCCTCCATAAAAACATACCAAAACTAATAACTCCAAAGCATATTTCCAACTATGTATTCCATATATGCTGATGACACATGATTGAACATGTGTTCCCAAACAAAGAACATTAAATTGTTCATCATTATGCCCCCAAAACCTAAAGAAAAATAAAACATACCTGTTTTCTTGAGACAGAACATGGGTTATTGAGTTTTCCTCTTTTCCTTGGTTCAACATCTCAGCTGTGAGATTGAAAAAACAGATAGTCCATGCTCATTGGTTGGATTATATATATCTATTCAACATCTTTTAGAGACATTCTTCTTCTGAATTATACTTGCCGATCGTCAACCACTCAAAACAAGGTTAATTTCCTGGAAGTGCTCACCACCTTGGCACAAAGAATAGACAAACATCATGTCCTGTGTTTTTTTGATTCATCTAAGATCAACGAGAGCTCCTTGCTTATGATGATGAACTGTGCATTTTCCTCTTTACATACCACAGATGCGCACTGGTGATTGTGTTTCTGTTAACAAAGGAAACTTTATTCTGCTAACAACTATTTACCGCAAACCACAAACCCATATAGCCCACGTGCCAGAAGCACGTGGGCTGCAATTGTTATCTTCCCTTTTGCAAGGTGGAGCAACTCCACTCTGCTTCTGCTTCTGCTGCTGCGGCACTTATTAGGTACACAATTGCAAGTGTTTTTTAATTATATGAATAAAATGACCACTGTTGTAATTATTAAGGACAGCTGTGCATAAGAATAATTCCCTCGTGGATTTTTAAAGAAAAATAGTCAAAACTGGAAACACTTTATTTCTACAAAGCTAAACCCATGTTTGAAATAGTGACTTGGTATTAACTTTAGGCTACCATAGGCAAATTAAACATGCCATCATACAGATCAAAACTACAACTACAAAATCAGATGTCTTTAAAAGAGAAAGATAATTCCTCTGGACAATAGCTATTCCAAAAATAGGATTTATTATATGTAATGTAATTATATGAAATTGAATTGCGGGTATTTTCTATAAATGTAACTGCAAGGTTCTATTGTAGTATAAACATGATAAGTTGATACTACGCTTCTGAATTTGTAAGTTGTTTCTACATCAAATTCAATGATTCAATGATATGTTTTCTCAAACCAGTCATATGTAGTCAAATGAGTCGTGTATGCTGCAGAATACACTTGTTACTTGACAACTACCAACACTGAAACCCATTACGGATATTTGAAAATTGATGTTGAAATCACAACTATCCTCCTTTTTTTGCTAATAAACCTGAAGCCAGTCCAAAACAAACATATACTTGACCTAATAAAAACTTACTTGACTTGGATGTTTACCTTCATACGTGTGGTGGGAAAAATCTATTCAATAGTACCGAGTGAGTCCTATAATACTGAATACTGAAACAAGAAACATTGAGGAAAGACGTTTGTCTTTAAAGTATTTATTCTCTGGCCAGAGAAGGCGTCACCATCATACAGAATGCAGTTCAGTCTGAGGATGAGCCAAGAGGCCTTTTTTGCAAAAAATTGTATGTATAATATGCATTGTAGGATGGAGCACAAGTTCAAAATATGCCTATTCGAAAAACCAAAGTTAAACAAACTCACCAAACTGGCACATGTATTTTCAATAAAAACACAAACATCCTTCAAACTGACCTATAAAGTAAAGGAAAGGAAATTTTGACATGAAAGCACATGGTGTGGTGAAAGAAGTACTCATATCCTTTATTCAAGCAAAAGTACTGATAACACAATGTTAAAGTATTTAATTACAAGTAAAAGTCCTGCATTCAAAAATGTTTGGAAGTATTATGAGCTAAATTAACAGTTTTAAAAGTAAAGGTATTTGTATTCAGAAAATCCCTGTTATAAGATAAATTACATTATTTATACTGATGCTTAAGGCTACTTTAAAATCAACAGACAAAAGAATGAGAGACAACAGTGGAGAGCTCGAGAATGCTCCGGGAGAGACATTAATAGAGGAGGTACAGGGTGCCGACAAAATACCTGGCAGAGAGCAGGAGAAGAGGATGCCAGGGATTCTCAAAGCGCAGAGAGACCAGCGGGATATTGGACACAAAGATCAGGGAGCTCCCCTGATCTCCCCTACTGTGTTCTCAGCACACAGTAGGGGAGAACCTCAGGTATTTACATTAGATACAATTGATCAACATTTTCAAGCTGCCCTTTGACACCTTCAATTAGCCCCCCCCCCCCCCCCCTCTTCCTCCCAGTCGTACAAAGACATTTGTCTCTCCTATCTCTGAGAATCTTAAAACCTCCACACTCTCGGGTCAAACTGCACCCCCCCATTTGGTTGCTTCTCAGCTATAGCATTGTCCTGTCTAACATTGGATACAGCATAAATTAATTCACAGTAGAAATGTCCTTAGCACACTGAAATATTCTATCACATACGACAGAAAGGGTGTGTTCTCATTTCTATCATGCTCAACCTGCAGAGTAAAACCCAATAGAGTCCCTGTGTGTACCTTCATAATAATACAATAATACAACTCCTACAGCCTTTCTTTGAATTTCTACAGGATATATGAAACAATATAAAATCAGCAGCAGAAGACGTTGTCAAGTGTCACCCACGTCCTGCTATTTCACACAACCTATCAAAATGTAAAGGAAGCACAAATCATGCAAGTGTTTAATGTTATAATAAATAATTTTTTCATGATGTCTTCCCTTCACTGAACCTAGTGACAGAATATCTCACATACAAGTAAACCCAAAGGACTCGACACAAAACAGTTCTCATACCCACTAAAGCAATACTTCAAAGGTTCAATGTTTATTGTTATTATATTGTTATAATACATTAATATTATTTGTAGGGGACCATGGACAATATTAAACACATCATTTACATAATAAAGAATTTAGACAATAGCTATTCCAAAAATAGGATTTATTATATGTAATGTAATTATATGAAATTGAATTGCGGGTATTTTCTATAATTGTAACTGCAGGGTTCTATTGTAGTATAAACATGATAAGTTGATACAAAGCTTCTGAATTTGTAAGCTGTTTCTACATAAAATTCAATGATTTAATATGTTTTTTCAAACCAGTCAGTGTGAGAAATCTCGAAACACAAATTGACCAATTTAGTTAATATTGAGTAAGATGTAATATTAGTAATAACATCCTTCAAAAGTGTTGATATTTTTATGGATAACAAGAAAAACAAAGTAAAGTCGATTTTTATTTTTATATTCCAAAATGACAAATATGCTGCAGCATACACTTGTTATTGCAGGAAGTCAAGGGGACTCGTGCTATCGGCTGCAACTGCCAACAAGGCAGTGTAGAAACACTTTAGCTGTTGCACTAAAGGATAATGTGGTTGGTGGTTAGGCTCTGCTGCAGAGTATACTTGTTACTGCAGGATGTCAACTGTTCCATTTACTGCAGTTCAGTGTGGTTAGGACTTATAGATTCAGTTAGAGCTCTCAGACAACAGACGACTACTAACACTGAAACCCATTACGGATATTTGAAAATTGATGTTGAAATCAC